TCAAGTAAAATCGATGACTTCGCTCATTTTTCATTTTTACAGTGTTAGATGAGAAATCATATTATTTTGCATTGTTCGAACGAGCGTAACTTTAGTGCTGAGAATCTTGAACAAGCAATTGTTGTCATATTTTTCGTAATTTGCAGTCGTGATCTATTGTCTCAAACGGAATTGAAAATTCAAAGCAAATTTGAATTGCTAACTTTGAAAGAAAAATAAATGTCTTACTGTAATTAAAAAGAAAATCTTTTTTTTAACTTTTCAGAAGAAGGAATCTTCGTGAAAAATCTTTACTGACAGAACCACTGATAAATTATAAAGTAAAATAAATGTCTCGCTGTAAATTGAAAAAATCTCTGTCATTTTAACGAAAATGATTTTTTACGTGAAAAAGATTTTCTCAATTATCTTTCGAATATTATCTGTCGAAGACTACAATTTCACTTGGACAACGCAAAAAGTGAAATGAGAGTGTTTTAATTTCACACATTCTTCCTAAACCGTGAAAAATTCCCGTTTCAGTGGAAAGCCATTTGAAATATTTTAAGCACCTTACCGTACAAAAATATAGATAGGTGGTTCCATTGGAATTTTTATGGCACTAAAGAGGTGCTTTACTTGAATTTCGCTGATCGACGTAATGGAATTGAACACGTCTATTATGAAAAGTGAAGTGATTTATTCGATACTCGAGGAACCAGGAGTAATCAATCAGAGGGAACAAACTTTTACCATTTTTCTAGCTATTTCGCTAAATAATTCAGCGACAATGTGACGATAAATCCCTTTATCACGTTGTTGTCATTCTATATCGTGCTTTACGCGACTGATATACGAGTAGCAGCGTGTAGGCGTCTTTAACCCACGTGCTGGTGCCATTATCACGTGTAACACAATAGTTGAATACAAAGGAATAGCCATTGTACTAAATTGTTTACTGTTTCGTCCTCGTTTACATTTATACAGCTTATTTAAATAGCGTTCCAGAGTAGACCTTTTATTCGCTTAATTAACGAATCTGAACAGCGAAATTTGGCGAACGATTCGAAAGAAATTCTGTAATGTTAATTCAGCTACCTATTAAAAATAATAAATCTAAAATTCTAATTGTAATACTTTATTTAATATTTTTCCATTGTAGTTTTTTCCATGGTAAAATTCAATCTAAATATAAAAATTCATTATTCGTTCGTTTCTCTGAAGCAGAATTTGAAAAATCGAAGATTCTATCGTTTCGTAAATCTAACTACCTATTAAAAATAATAAATCTAAAATTTTAATTACAATACCTTATTTATTATTCTTTCCATTGTAATTTTTGCCATAAAAAAAAAATTGAAAAATTCCATCTAAATACAAAAATTCATTATTCGTTCATTTCTGTGAAGCAGAATTTGAAAAATCGAAGATTTCTGTGTTTTTAGAGAATTTCTTCGGATTTTTCTTCATCCCAATATTTCGGTCGATACTTTTTTTTTTTTTTTTTTAAAAATTTAAAAAC